CCACTGATGTCCTCTGCAACTGCTACTAAGCAGTATAGGAGACAGCATGTCTCCTGGTGGTTAGGAGAGGAGAGGGAGGCCAATGAAATCAAGTAACAGGTGAGTCATCCACATGAATGAATACTTGCTTCTATAGAGGAGGATGGCTGGGGGAAAGCCTTTCCTGCAGAACCAATGAATCCACAGGATCAAGAGGCCATACCAGAGATCTTTAAGCCTCCACCTCGTTGCCCCCAGATCTTCTCTCTTTCAGGGATCATATAGATGAAACTCCACAAGGAAGTTCCCTGGTCACATGGTATTGTCCATGGCAAGGAAGGAGCCAAACCATTAAAAATTTTCCTTAGCATGATGCCTCCAAAATTAACACAGAGTGTTTGGATTTCACTAGATACGGGGACAGGCTTTAGCATTCAGTTTAGAGGCCTAATAGAGACCTCATCTTTGGATTTAATGGACCTTAAATCTCAATAGCTGGTTTTGAGATTTCAGACCAAAATAGTGAAAGTCTCATGAGATCAGTTGCTTATGAGATTTCAGTCATCTTGAATGCTAGCAACCTTACATGACTAGACCTCTGAATGCTGAGCTTTTCTCACAAGAGTTTGGCCACAGTTGAACCATGAATGGAAAAGGGGTCATTCTAGTGTAGTAGCCAATCCAGAACCAAAACTATTGGGGTAAGATTGGTGCCAAGGATTACCGTCTGAAATTCAATGGGGTTCAAATTCAAGGTTCCAGTTCTCTCTTTTTATTCTCAATTGTATTATAAAGACTACTATGTGCTGTACTTTAAACCTGCTGCACTTAGTTTACTGGAAGACTGTGCAAGTGGGAATTTACTACAATTCACCTTTGGCTTTTCTACATCTTATGAAGGAGCAGCAGCAACTAATTACCAAGATATACATTCAGCAAAGGAAAAATGACAGATGAGGACCTATAGTGAATTAGTGATCATAGATACTGAGGGAAGGAATGGACCTGGGAATGATACAAATATATGGCTGACAAAATCCTCCATTGTTCACAGTGGGAAAAGGGTATTATGCTGCATCAAACAGATCCATGTAACTAAATAAATGTAAGCCCAAGCATTCATGTTACCATAACAACTTTGTACACTCATTATTTAAAGGTCGGAGTGGCTACCCCTGAGGTCAGATACTTTTTATTGTTGCTTAGTGATGCTAAATTTAGCACTGGACCTAGAAGGAGAACCAAAAAACCACAGAGATTTTATGAACAACTTAAGACTGCTTTTTAATTCATACTGTACCTTAACAACACATTTAATAGTTGAGGAAACTGATATCCCCACATCAGCAAGAATCCAGCTATCCTTCAGTATTGCTCCTGCATAGATCAAATCCAAATACTGTCTACCTTGTTTGTCTTCAGAAAGTGGAATGTTGAAGTAATCCTAAAAATGAATAGTAAATGGTGAAGTGTGTCTATGCTGCAGTGATTCCTGCCCAGAACATTCATTATTGGTGTTATGAATATTATACTAGAGCCCTTAGATACTGCTCTTGGTGCCACAGTCTGAATAAAGTGTTCTAAGAACATACAAGTTCTAAACAGAAGATTTATACCTTTTTGTTTTGAAAAGAAAATAGCATTGAGATATAGTAGCTTTGAGTTAGACTAGTTTTATTTTTTGCTTATAAGTTACACACATTCTATGTATGTAGAAGACTAAATAATCTGATGAAGTTTTGTTGCTGCAAATGAGTACTCTCATCCATTACAACTGACACAAAGCTAAAACAAAAATACACAGGCTGTGACATTTCTGCTGGGGCATTATGAAAGCACAACTTTTCTCAGGTGGCCCCTGCTTTTGGTTACCTCATACATTTGTGTTCCCAACTTAAGGCACCTTCATGACCTCATACCAAAATGAGGCACCTAAATGAATATTTACAGGTACCTGAATTAAATGTCAGATGGGATTTTCTATCTCACTCAGTATTGGTCTGTCTGATCCCACTGAAGTAAAGAACTACCATTGACTTCAGGGGTGCAGAGTTAAACCAGAGTGCTTTTGAAAATCTTACCTTACATATTCAAGCTGGAATCAAAATTTGAGGATACCAAAATTAGAAGCCATTTTTAAAGCTTGGGGTTGAATGACTTTGTGAAAGAACTCTGGACTCTTTCCTTGAAGGATGAATGTGACATGTATAGTACTTTTCCTTGTCTTGTCAAAATATGTGCATAAAAAATGTAAGGTTAATTCAGACAATGCAGCCAAACCTGGAGCCATAGAGACTCCTGAATTACAGGCATTTCATCTCAAAAGGAGCAAGCTGAAATATTACTGATATACACATTCCAATGCCACGTAATGTAGTAGAGTACAAGCTGCTTACACATGGATCTGGAGGTCAGTGGTGACAATTTGAGACCTCTGGAGAATCCCAGCTCTTTTAATCCCAGCCTTGCCTACAGTGGGGCATCTCACAGCATCTTCCTTCTTTCTGTTTAAGAGAAAATCTCCATTGATTGTTCCCTTGACGCTCTACACACAAGCACACATGCCAGTTCTAAACACTTTCCCTGTTGCTCCCATGAATTGGAATACCCTTCCTACAGCTGCTGGTGGTAGAGACAATCAGATTTCATATTAAATTGTGGAATGTGTTGTCAGTGGTTCAGAAATATATCTTGACAGAAAGACCCATTTGAATGTGCTCTAGCACAATGCCTCAGAGCCAGCAAACCATCATTAAAACAACTCTCAAAACAGATTTATGTACCCACTTTTTATATTTTTGTCCTAATTCCAGAATATGCCACATTGCATCAGCACCAGATGTGAACCCTCCCTCCTCTTCCCCTGAAGATGAAGTGCCTAGAGGTACTATGTATGTTAACACGTTAGAAGTTAATGTTATCTATCACCAATGTGTTACTGAACTAGTGAGGATTCTCATTTGTGGGAAATGCCTTTTTGGGTTGGCTGCTGGCAGCCAAACGCAAGTGAAAGTAGCCCTGAGATTGCTTAACTTTCCCCAGGAGCCTGCCAAGGATAATGAATTTCAGCTTTGCTTGCTACTCCCATCTTTCATATTGCAACAAGCAGACCTTGGCTAAACCTGAAAATCAGACAGTAAGCATCTGAGAAAGCCATATGCAGGGATAGGCAGCCAGCCCAGAAGACCCATAAAATGAAATTTCTTACATTATAATAGGGAATATTATGCAGTATACATGAATATTATACATGTATTTAAACCATAAATTAACGATAACAAAGTTAAAAATAATTAATTTGATAATTAGTTAAGCACCTACCTTTATCATCAGTTTTATAGCTTGCACAGTTTGGTCTGATGAAATGTCAAAAGATTCACAAAATCCTTCAAAAGCTATGAAAATCTTCATCTTGCAAAAAACTGAAAACAACTGCTAGGAGACCTTGCTGATCTAACAAAACACGTCTGGCGGAATTCAGATTCACAAGTGACAAAAGATAAACACAAATAAAGCAAAATCCATACCACAACAAGCCAGAGAAGATTACAAATATCCAATCTAAATACAAAGTTTCTCTTCTCTTCAAAGCAAATGCCTTCCAGAAAAAGCCCTGTAGTAACAGGCAGCACTGACAGGGAGGGAGATAAAATGTCCTGAATGTGTTTCTTTAGCTCAGCTGAATTGGAGCTGAAGAGGAGGGGGGAAAGCAGGGGGGGAGGGAGAAATCCCTCACCCATGTGCTTAGTGAAACTAACAAACCACATATTGATTAAGACAAGTGTGAAGGAGTTTCAAACATGCACATGCACGATCCAGGCTAATCATATTTCTACCATCACACCCACTGTCCACAAAACCTAATAACTATGCTTATTCAAAGTGCTACTGTTTAAAGCACCGAGAGTCGTCAAACAAGGTTCCTTGGCAGCTGTTAAATTGAAATGTTTGCTTATTGCCATCTGCAAAGTGTTTTGTAAATAAGTCTATGCCACATTTATTCATGTTACCATAACAACTTTATGCATCTATTTACACTTCTGAATCCACCCTGAGAAACATTAGCTACTTATATATTTTTAAAAGCAAATATAAAGACATATAAAATATAAAAAATAGTTTACAGCAGTGTTTCTTAAATTTTTTAAGACATGCCACAGTCTCTCTCTCAGTTTACACTGGGGCCTTCATTCTGATAGAGCAGACTTGTATACATTCTGATACAGGAGATGCTGGCCTATGGAGGCCTCACTACTCAGGGAAAGGTTAGAAGGACTGTCACTGGCTAGAGCTTTTGTGGAACTGGGGGTTGGGAGGTGATCTCTGGGAAGCTTATTAGCATGTTTAATTCTTTAATTGATTGGAATTTTTTTCTATAGTAATTTTAGTTTAAGAATAAAACTTTCTTCCGTAGAAAGAATTGTGGTAACTTAAATGTTGGCAATTATGAACACCAAAGTTACAAGCTGACCAACTGACATCCTCATTTGAAAGCACAAGTACACAAATAGGCAGCAACAGAGACAAAAAACAAAGAAACAAAAGCAAACAAACCAACAAGCAAGTACTGCAGGGGTTCTCAAACTTGTGATACCGCGACCCCCCTCTAAGTTGCTCGTGACCCCCCGGGGGGTTGAGACCCACAATTTGAGAAACATGGAAGTACTGTGTTAACCACAAACTATTTAAAAAAAAAAAGGAAGTTTAAAAAAATGACAAGATAAGGGAACAGTTTCTGTACTTGTTTCACTGAAATTTGGATGGCTAAAAGCATTTTTCTTCTACATAATATAGCCTTGAATGTTCAGTTGTAAATTCTGTTCAGAATTATCAACATTTCAGAATTATGAACAACCTCCATTCCTGAGGTGTTTGTAACTTTGAGGTTCTACTCTGTTGTTAGCCTCTGAAGAGGAAGCTGGCCTGTTTAGGCAGACCGTGTTTTGATGAGGCTAACACAGAAGGGAGGTAACTGTTCAGTCTGGAGATATCCCAGTTAGGAAGAAGAGAAAAGGCACTGGCTAAGGAACTAGAAGTGGGAGAGTGAGTGCCCATGTTTCACTATTAAGAGAAAATACATAGTTGCTTTGTGACTCCGACTTCCTCAGATTAAAAATGCTATCAACAGTAAATGAGAAGTTGAGCTGTTATACTCTCCCAAAATGACTAATCAGAGTTGTGACAGGGCATTCCATATGCTTCATGAAAATATGCTTATAAATTGACATTACCGGAATATGCTTTATGCAAAATACTTCATGTAAGATATCATTAGAAAGCTTATAATCTAATGAATATGGTTTTCCCATTTGTATGTATACACGTATTATTTCCGTATTAGAAAGTTAGAAGTATTAACCTGTGTTAATGTAGTCATACTAAGGGAGACCATTAGTAGTACAGGCAGTCCCTGGGTTACGTTCAAGATAGGGACTGTAGGTTTGTTCTTAAGTTGAATTTGTATGTAAGTCAGAACTGGTACATATTGTAGGGGAAACGCTAGCCAAACATTTCTCCAGAGCTCAGTTTTATTCTCCCACACCTCACTTGCCTCAGTCCTTTATTCTCAAGCTGAGGTGTCAGCTGAGAAAAGCCGCTCCGCGTCTCCCTGGTCTGCTGGGGGAGGGGGCGCTAGCTTTGCGTCTCCCTGGTCTGCTGGGGGGAAGCAGCTAGTGCAGGGTTGCCTCACCCCATTTGTAAGTAGGGATCCGATGT